TACCTCCACTCCAGTGTATACCCTCCCCAGGGACAGACCTCCCCCAGGGAACCACCTCCACCCAGTGTGAACCCCCTTACCCAGAGACAGACCCCCTGGAAACCACCTCCACCAGTGTATACCCTGCCCAGGGACAGACCCCACCAGGAAACAATTCCACCTAGTGTGAATCCCCTTCCCAGAGACAGACCCCCTGGGAACCACCTCCACTCAGTGTGAACCACCCCCTCCAGGGACAGGCCCCCCCCCCAGAGAACCTAGGGTGAATGCCCCTGGACAGACCCTACCTGGACGACCCTGCCCATTGTGGACCCTGCCCGAGCCCCACCCGGGACTGACCTAGCCTGGATGGCACCCTTTCTCAGGGATGCCCACCTGCCCAGGGCTTGCAAGTCTTCTCCCAAGGGGAGCCCAGGACACCTGCCAGACACGCACCTGGTCGGGGTTTTCTTGTCTTCTTCGGAGATCAGAAACCAGACAAAGTCAGCGTAGCTTATTTTTCCTTCCTTCTGCACTTTTTTACCTCTGGATTCAAGGCCAGAATTGAGAGACAAAGACCAGGTCAGGGAGAAGCAGCCTGAGGTGCAGGGTCCCTGCCCACTTCCCACTGGGTGGCTCCTACTGGGGAGGAGGCCCAAGAGAGATCCTGTGACCACAGACGACGGTCCCCAGGACCCCAGGTGGGCAGGAGCAGCTGCCGTGGTCACAGCGTACTGTGGTCTCAACGCCCAACACCTGCCATGGCACCCCTGTCCCCCTTAATGATGACCTCGTGTGACCACGGCACTTGTTCTCACAACAGAAGAACCTCAGGTCAGCAGTACATGAGACAGAACCGGGTGGTTACACGGAAAATCGGCCGAAACCCTGATTGGATGGGCCGAGTGCAGTGAGTGTGGACGTACCGCGTCACGGCTCCTGAGAAGATTCTCTCGATCATCTTGGTGGAAATGGCTGCAAAGGAGAAGGGGCCATGAGCCACCACGCATGGCCCTGGCCTGACGTAGCAGCCTCTGGGCGGGCTCGGGTCCTCTCGCTGGGGCCCAGGCCTGGTGGGGGCAGGATCTTGGGACCTGAGTCTCCTGCACACACCCGCCCAGGCCTGCCCAGCGCCTGCCAATCCGGGACCTGAGTCCAAACTAAAGCCACAAGCGAGAAGAGCTGGCCTGGAGGCTCCAAGATGGAAACAGGGTGTGAAGACAGAACATGCCAGAACCCACACTGTCAGACACTCTGCTCCCAAACTCTCAGCTTGACTGTAGTCAGAACACAAACGCATTTCAAGGCACACTCGACTCAGAAGTAAAAGGGAAAAGCACTGAATGAGGTCGCTGGGGCTGCTGACACGAAGCACCACACACCAGGTGCCTTACACAGCAGTGGTTTATGCCCTCCAGTCCTGGAGGCTGGAGTCTGAGGTCCAGATGTCAGCAGGGCTGGTTCCTGGGGGATACGCCTTAAGCATGCGAATTCTGGGGACACAATTAAGACCCTAATAGACCCAGAACCTGCAAATGGGACCCATCTGGAAATAGCGTCTCTGCAGACGGGATGAAGTGAAGGACCTGAGAGGAGGGCCTCCTGGAGGAGGTGGCCCTGCATCCAAGGACAGTGTCCTCAGAAGAGGAGACACACAGACACAGAGGAGAAGCCACGTGGAGATGGAGGCAGAGACCGGAGGGAGGCGGCCACCAGCCCAGGGATGGACGCCTGGAGCCCCCAGAAGCGGGAAGAGGCAGGGAGGACCCTCCCCGGAGCCTTCGGAGGGAGCGCGGCCCTGGGACACCTTGACCTCAGGCGTCTGGTCTCCAGGACTCGGGGAAGGTGGGTGCAGGTCCCTGTTGCTGGGGGGGATGAAGATGGCTGTTTAAGCCCCAGGTTGTGCTCATCTGCTACAACTGCCCCAGGAAACTGCAACCACCCCCCGCCCGGGATGACGGTCCTTCGTAAATACACAAATGCTCCCTGGGAGGATACTTTCCTGGTGTTACAGTCCCCCCCGCCCCCAAGACAGCAGCCCAGGGACTCGGACTCACTCCCACGACCAGCGATCTGAAAACAGGGAACCCACTGGTCCGCAGGGACACAGGACAGATCAGCACCGACCCCTGCCCATTCCCTCCCATGACGGCAGGATGAACCCTGCTCCTGCAGGAGCCCGCGATGTTTTGAAAGAGGCTCGTGCAAGGGAGGGGACATGTCACGGCACGCACTCACACCCATAACTGGGAGCCCTGTTCTGGGAGCCACCCACTGTTCTGTCCTGGACAACAGGGCCGCCGTCCCTACTACTAGTGTTTCCAGCACACGAGGCAACCAGCAGCCAGCCTGCTTGGTGACCAACCCCCAAGGCCGGCCGCATGAGAGCCCCCAGAAACGAGAACTCGATGGAGTGCACGGGGCCACAGGGACGTGGGCTCTGGGGGAGGGGCCGCGGGGATGGGCAAGGCTGGGGTGACCCCTGATGTGGCGCCCTCCTCTAGCCACCACGAGCCTGTGCTCAGAGCTACTCCCGTGGGACTCAGGGCACAGGTAAGAGTTGAGACCACACGTCAAGTTCGGAGCAGCATTGAGAGGGACCCACGTCCACCCAGGTGTCCACGCACCAGCATTTGCGGGACCCTTGCAGACAGATGTGGGGGAGCAGACAGGCGGCCCCAGGGAGCTGACATCCAGGACTGTCCCGTCTACGTTGAGCACGAGTGAAACAAATGTAGAAAATTCAGACGTGTGTTCGCGGGTGCAATTACGTGAAATAGTCACACC